TTACGCCATTCTCCTGCCTCAGCCTCCTGAGTAGCTGGGACTACAGGCGCCCGCCAGCTCGCCCGGCTAGTTTTTTGTATTTTTTAGTAGAGACAGGGTTTCACCGTGTTAGCCAGGATGGTCTTGATCTCCTGACCTCGTGATCCGCCCATCTCGGCCTCCCAAAGTGCTGGGATTACAGGCTTGAGCCACCACGCCTGGAACTTTCTACGTATATCAAGTCCATTTGTTCACTTTAGCATGTCTTACCTACTGAATGTCAGATACTATGTTTGTTTCTAGGGATAAAAAGATGAATTAAACATTCTTGTCCTCTGGAAATTTACGGCCGAGTGGAAGTAAAAAGATACATGCATAACTAATTATAGGTAGAAGTTTATGAAATTGGGTGTTGGCTTAGTCTTAAGACTAGAAAGTGTATTTAGAAAAAGGCTTTTTTTTTTTTAAAAAACAAAAAGGCATAAAACCACAAGGAACCAAAAAAATGGAAGAGAAGGTGAAAACATACTGAGAAATGTTAACAAATTTTGGAAGCTGAAACACAGATGGTTAGGTGGTAACTCACTTAGCACTCCAGAGAAGGCTTGCCTGAAGGGGCAGGCCGGGTAATACTATAAAATATACCAGATAGACTTAGGAATTGGAGACACTAGGAACTTCACAAAGGTGGGATGCAGAAGGGGCTAAAAATGGAAAACTTAGTTGAAAGTCAGCTCTACTGTGAAAAGCGGCTACCTAGCTAAATACAGGTAAAATAAGAAAAAGGTTGCACACTGACGCCGGGCGCAGTGGCTCATGCCTGTAATCCCAACACTTTGGGAGGCCGAGGCGGGTGGGTCACAAAGTCGAGAGATCGAGCCCATCCTGGCCAATATGGTGAAACCCTGTCTCTACTAAAGATACAAAAGTTAGCTGGGCATGGTGACGCATGCCTGTAATCCCAGCCAGTCTGGAGGCTGAGGCAGGAGAATCGCTTGAACCACAGAGGCAGAAGTTGCTGAGATCGCGCCACTGCACTCCAGCCTGGGCAGGAAAGTGAGACTCTGTCTCAAAAAAAAAAAAAAAAAAAGAAGGTTGCACACTTAATGATACTCATCAAGACTTCTTGTGGAAGAAACAAATATGTAAGTGCCCAGGATTTCTTTGAAACATTTTTTTTTTTTTTTTTTTTTTTT